GTCTGTAGATACTGAGAAGTCAGATAACGAAGAAGAAGAACTCTCTCTCTCTCTCTCTCTCTCTCTTGTGCCAAGTACTGACCTGTGAAGGTGGAGCTATGGCGCCACAGGTAAGTCTCCCTGGCCTCCGCCAACTCTCTCTCTCTCCAATGCTACTCTTAGCTCCTAACAGCGCCCAGCGCTGAAGACTACTGCTAGCTACTACTACTGCAGCGCTCCTGCAGAGTGCTGCTGCCGAATCCTGAAGACTGCCTCCTGCCTCCTGAACTGCACGTGCAGTGCCCCCGTGAACTACCTGCAGCCTGCAGGGCTGACCAGTACTATATAGCGCTGGTCCGGCCTGGGAGGCTGCTCTTGCCCATGCCAAATCGTGCCAGACCCTGGCGTTGAAGTTCAAACAAAGGTTGTCTTGAAACAGGCCTAAAAATGGCCTGTGCTAAACCCTGGTCTGGTTCAACCCTGGTCTGGTGCCTAAGTTTCAGGGGAGGTCCACTTTACGAGGGCCTGAAAATGGCTCTCCTTTTCAGGCTTTTAGGCTGAAATGACACAGGGACTGGAGGGCCCTTATATTCCATCTGTGTCGGGCCCTGCAGGCCCGTGTGGATGCGCAGTATGCCACACCCCGCCCTCCTTGAAAGACCGAGCTCACCTGCGAGGGCGAAGCTGCCTGTCGGAGGGAGGGACCAAAGTCCGGGTGGGAGGGGCAGGTTGTGCAGCTTCCTTAGCTAGTCTTTGTCGTTCGTTGTGAGCGTAGATCAGAGGTGCGGATGCTTGCAAATCTGCTCGTGAAATCCATCGAGTCTCATCAGGATCGCATGCTTTGAAGGTAACTTTGTACTGTCGAGGCTCGTTGCCGTACTTGCGATCCGTGATGACGTGGATGACTTCCTGATAACCATCCATAGACGGAGGGTCTTGCGATCGCCTGTCCGGGAAGTCATCGTCCTTTGCTGGCGTGTATATCGCCAGCTTCGAGGCGTGAAAGACTGGATGGACCAGCAGATGCGGAGGGATGTCGATCACAAAGGATGGGCGGCCAGGCTCGTCGCCTGCGGCTGAACGGACGGTCCATGGTCCAAACCACTTGGGGAGTAGCTTGCGCGAAACATCCTGTTCGCGCACAAACTCTTCCGCGGAGACCCAAACTCGGTCGCCGGCGCGGATAGGACATGGTACGCGACGCCGATTGGCTTGCTGCTGCATCCGGACTTTAGCCTTTTGCATGTTTATGCGGGCTTGAGTCAGCAGGTCCCGGT